GTGAACTCTTGAACTGGCCTTGTGGCCGCTTGCTTGCGCTCGGAATTTGTGTGGTGTCCTTGAGATCCACCCTGAGCTTGTCTTGCCTTGACTGGTCTTGTGACCATTTGTTTCACCTTGCTTGCCCTGGTGTCCCTCACTTAGCCTATGGGGGTGTGTCAAATGTTAATGTTATGATAGGCTGCAGTGAGGCACTCCCTAGAGGGTACAACATTTGTAGGACTCCTATTTGTATGCTTGCAAACCCTAATCCCAATTATTCCGTTGCATTCTTATTCTGAGAACGGCATCCTTCATAGGAAATCATTCCCGTACCTAATGTCTCGTGTTACCTATGACGACTGCTCTGCAGACTCATTGAAGAGTATTGTCTTAATATGAAAAATTATGAAATAAATTTCAAAATTTAAAGATTATGACAATACACGTAAGTAAGGAGTCTGTCGCTCCTTATATTGTGGCAGGTTTACGGACCTGCCACCTAGTCCAAAAATCATTTCTAGATCAAGTTTAGAACCCACCCCCAGGGCTTACTTTATCAGACATTTTTGGTCTGAATTTCTGGATTCTGAACACATTTTTACTGGGTCATCTGATGTCGTAGACATGCTGTTTAATTTCGTCTGATTTTTAAGAGAAGCTTTTTCTATTCACCTGATTTCTCAGACAGCCTTATACAGTTCGTCTGAGACTGCAGATATCGAGTCTTTTTCGTTTGAAGGCAAAACTTTTCATGGATGTATGCACCTGCCTGGCAGACGTAGGAGACAAGATTTGAACAGGCAACCTCAATCTTCACAACTCCCTCTTTTACAGGCTGGCCCATTAGGGATGATACCTGACTTCCTTATTTATGTTCTGATAGTATATTGCTTGCTAGCTTTATATCTTCACAGAAATCTCAGACAAGTATTTAGGATTCGTCTGAAAAGCTAGACAATGTTACAGCTTTCGTCTGACAATCAGACAAGGAGCCAGGACCCGGTCTTGACATCAGACGTGTCATTTTACTAAAGTTAGCCCTGCCCACCCCCCCCTTCCCATATAGATTTATATTCATTGATAAATAGTTTGGATACCTACAATTTCTCTTTGTTATTTACTCTGTAATATGCAATCAAGTGTGCTGTACGATTAAGATATGAAATGCTATGACGACTGCTCTATGACGACTGCTCTGCAGACTCATTGAAGAGTATTGTCTTAATTTGAATGCAAAATGCATAAATATAATGCATATGGTATAAGTCCAGTGTAGTGAAATGAATGCATAGCATGATGAAAATGCGTAACAGTTAGGGTACAATCCGCTGTGGACACTGTCCCAATCGATGTGTCCCAATCGTTTCTACCGCACTGCATCGTATTACACCAAATTGCACCCTAGTTTCGAAAATTTCGCGTCTCTGGTTTTGTTCGGTTCGGAGCGGTACACTCGATTGGGACACATCGATTGGGACAGTGTCCATAGGGGAATGTACCCTTAATTGACCCAAACACTATGCTACCACCGCATCCCCTGCCTAGCATGGGGGGGAGCTCAATAGCATAGGTCCTGAATCAGCCAACTGTTACATGAAACAACACAATCTGTGTAAACTAAAAAAATGATCAAGATCCATCAAATCCAGTTAAAGTGAACACACTCACTGAGTGGGCAAAGAACCTTATCGGAAATGACGGTTGACCATCTTTTTAAAATCTACAGATACGCATTGTTAATGCAATGATAGATGCACACACCATTCACACATACACACACACGCACGCATAAACACACGCATAACTACGAGAAAACTAACTCACAATTAAACAAAATAGATGCAATCTAAATAATGAGGCTACACAAAACAATAAATCCTACAAGTGACCAACGAAATCTTCCATCATGAACTTGATTCTCTGAAGGGCACAACAATTCCTCTGATAATACAGAACAAATTGAAAAAGAAGGGGAGAGAAATGGATGTTGATGCAAACTGAACCAATTACCGTACCAAAACTACACAACTGAAATTCCTGGATATTGCAGAAACTCTTGGAAGTAGTAATACTATGTAACGAAATAGAATGGATTAGATCAGAACGACAAAAACATAGGATTTCAAGGAAGAACCACAAATGTTTAAGAGGGATAAGCCTATAAAGGAATGTTAATAATGGAATGAATTTCAGGAATACACATTATATTTAGAGTACATGAGAATAAGCGTAATGTAATCCGAAAGACCAACTAGTGAAATTCTTGTTATATAAAAAATCAAGCAGAAGGAACGAATGGAAGAGAAACAAGGAAGAAACGAATAAGGGCATACATAGTGAAGATAACAAGAAAACAACAAGGAACATGATCAGAGATACAGGAGTAGAAATCTTACAATATTAACAAGTCAAGAGTTAATATACACTTGAACTTCACTTGATGACCTGCGAGCAAGAGGGGTAAGAATTGAAGTTGAAAACATGATATAGAAAACACATTCACAACGACTTACAAACGACGTAGTAATATGCTGCAGCATTTAAAGTAACATAGCAGCAAGGTCGTACTGAACAAACAAATGAAGATCTAAAGAAGATCATGCAAATGGTTTGGGAAACCGAAATAATAGAGAATCAGGGTGAAATGATGGACCGAATGACGAAGAGAAGAACTTAAGAGAGAAAAAGAGAATGAAAGATGCATACAGAACATAGGGAAATCTGTGAAGGAAAAAGAGTAACAACACGGACGTCATTATAAACATAGATGTCAGACGGAATCAACACGGATGAAATAACAAAGGAAAGAACGAACTAACAACGAGGTAGGTCGAAAAGGTATGCAAGCCCATATTCGACCAAGCACACTAGATTTCTCAAGGACTACTTTGTTACATAAGTAGACAATGTTAGGAAACGGAAGAAAAGAAGAGAGAAACGAAAGAGGAAAGTGACTAGGCATATATTTACTAGTGCAAAGTGAAATAGGCTACATACTTGAGCACTGGATTACGGGGAGTAGCTGAGTAGCGGGAATCGCGGTGTAGCGTGAGGAAACGAGAGGAAGAGAGAGACGACAGCGGAAAGAGAAACGGAAACTTGAAAACCTAACTACAATTTCGTGGAAAACGAATCAAGGAAAGAGCGCGATACGAAATGAAAAGCGCATAGATGCATATGAACGACCTAAAGAATAGCACGCGACGAGATAACATGAAGGATCTACAAAATGCCTGGAACAAACACTTCAATAACTTTCAGTCTTTCAAAACGGCCAACACATAAACAAACTAGTAGGATACGACATCACGAAAAGGCTAGACTAACTTACCGTCACCTAACTTAGTCCTAGTTTAAACAAGGCTTCTGACCTTATAGTAGTAGGTGGAGCGTGGTTGGCGGGAGCATATCAAGAAGTAGGCTTCACTAGCAGGAGGAAACGAGAGAGAGAGGAGCAAAACCCTAGAAGAGTGACTTTTCGGCCGTCTTTATCCAATGTTATGTATACGACTGAAAGCAAAATTATGTGTGTAGCGCAGTCGTTAGACAGTTGGGTTAGAATCTGAAAGTGTCGAGTTCGATGCTAGACAGTCACTACTTTTTTTTCGATACGTCCCTCAAGCAGCAGGTTTAGCGCAGTTGAAAGTCTTCGGTTCGATTCCTAACAGGTCCCACTTGTTGATTTTTAACTTAACCATATAGCATAAGGTACAGCTTACGGGTAGTTCCATACAATTTGACCTTGTACATAAATAATGTAGTTACGCAAAACGCTTCGCAGCCCTAAGACGATTTTGTCGCCTCTTGTTTTTTTTTTTTTATTATTTCTTTCTTTCATGTTGTTGCTCAGGATCCAGACTGCAAGCACTTCACTGGTACTGTCGGAGCGTACCAAGTCTGGAAGTACGGTGTCAACCTCGAAGCAGAACCCTGCCTGAACGGGTTTCATTTCATCCGATGTCTCCTCTCAGAGAAACTTGGCACGGATGTTGCAACACGTCAGGGCTTCCCCCACAATCTGTAATGAGGCAAGCATATCATCTCAGAGAGCAAGACGGTTTGGTGGGGTTCTCGAGTAGCCAATGGAGGAGACGCACAACCCATACATAAACCGAGCCTCAGGTGCTGGTTTGGCCGGATGGCATGCCATGCATGCAGGGCGCGGACTTCTAGTTGGTTGGATGGCATTGCTGATCGCAATTGATGTCGTACACACGGCGGCGATGTCCCACTGCCTTGGGCTCGGCATTACCGTGCCATGCCCCGTGCGGTGACTCATTCGTTTTGGCTCGGCTCGGGCGCGAAGTCAATGAGCGATGCAGCTGCAGCATCGCAAATTGCAATGCATGGTCATGCATGCAGGATGTTCCATCGGTCCACTCTACTATGTGGCGGTGATGGTGGCTATGGGGATGGGGTCGCACGGGCATGCCATGAGCAATTCGAATCTCCGATTCAAACATTCGAGAGCCACTTTACCCAGATCTACGCACATGCGACGTCTACCTCAACTCAAGCTTTCGATCTTTCGCACATTCAAACTGTCCGTCAAATTGCAAACGCAAGCCCTACCCATGCCAGTCGACTTCTGTCATCGTCATCGTTGGCCCTGAGAACTACCAGCCAGCACCATCCCATCGTAGTTTTATACAACGCTACCTTGATACCTCAAAGCAATCGGCGGTCCTGGCTTGTTCCAATCTTGGTTGAGCTAGCTTCACCTCCTAGAGATCTACGTGAGGCAGCGCCAGTGCTAACCCCTCGCTGGTAGCTCGCATCCTGTGCTCCCAACCGACCTTCAATTTCCCTCTAGTTTAGGGGTTGCCATCCCTGTTGCTCGTCACTTCCCAAGGACACCGCAAGTCTCTTGGGACGGCCCCCAAACCTCCCCCCAGCATTAGAAACCAACATCACTCGCTTCTCTCGGCACCCAAGCCCTCGCCATGGCGGGTGAGGTGGCAATGCGCGACGTGGCTGAGGAACACACCTGCGCCGTCAATTTGTCGCGCGACTGCGCGATGACCAGCGGTCCCAGCAACGAGAATCCTCGCCAGGAGCGCGAGCACTTGCATCCGACGCAGCAGCAAGAGCAGCAGCAGCACCACGGCCAGCTGCGCGGTCGGAAGCGAGCGCCGCTGGTGGAAGTGACGAACCTGGCGGCCATGGGCGGCAGGGCACGCGCCACAGCGAAGCGCGCTGCTCTGAGACCTCATCTCGCTGTACGTTTCTCGCCGCTCCACTCATGCTGCTGCCAGGTCGCTCCGCTAGAGGAGTGCTTTCCGTCCTCCCGACCCGCGACGTCAGAGTCACGGCTGTGCATGTCGGCACACCTTCCCATTGCACTCGTACAGCCCCACTGTCCCCTCCAATCCGCTTTCGCGCTCTACCCGTGTTACCGTGCCCTTCGTGGTCTGATTGCTGCGGTGTCATCGGCGAGTGTCTGGTCCGTCAAAGCTGATTGCTTTCAAGGGCTTTCGAAAATTATCACTCGTTTCATCCCTCCGCATACCCTCCTACTCTCCACTCACTCGCAATTAGCACTGCTTGGCAGGCAATGCTCCTTGCCTCGTCTCCGCGCAACGCCGTTGCATTTGTCGGCAGGTCATTCTGTATTTGGTTTTCCTAGCCAAGTGGTTCGCTTTCCCCCTTCATTCGATCCACCTGGCAATTCCTCTCTTGCTGCTCGTTTCACTCCCCCTGACGCCTTCCCCTCCACTCTTTCCATTCCCCAGGGCTCGGCGGCAAAGCAGCGAGCAGCAGCACTGGCAGCAGCGGCGAGGGACCGCCTGTTGGGTCGAAGGCGCTCCCTGGGGTCGTCCCCGCTGTCCACCCGACGTGCATCGCCGCGGGACAGACGGAGTCAGGCAGGACGGCAGCACCGGCTGGCGCACAAGCAGCAGGGGCAGCAGAAGGCGCAGCAACGCGTGCGGGGAAGCCGGTCACAGCAGCGGTTGGAGGCGGGGCAAGGCACGTCGTCCGCGCAGCTCACCACTTCGTCGCAGCCTCTCTCCGGGCTCACCACGCTGAGACTACCCCTTGCGACGCCGTGCGACGACGACGACAAGGCGCAGCTGCCATGCGAGTCAATCGCAGCACTCCCAGCGATGCCGTGCGAGAGAGCCTCAGGTGGCGCGAGCGAAGCGGGCGTGGCGGGCTGCAGGAGCGACAGCGAAAGCAGTAGCAGCAACGGCGGCGGTGGCGCGTCCATCGGCCGTGTTCACGACGTCGTGGCCAGCGAGCGGGGCAGCAGCGCCCGCGCGAACGACGGCAGTCAGTCGTTCAGCGGCAGGAAGAGGGCCGCGGGGGAAGGCGCGTCACCAGCGGAGCGGGCGGCGGACGAGGCGCACATCTGCCGAGAGCGGGCGCGCGGAGAGCCGTCGTGTGTGCAGGCGGAGGCGGACATTGGCGGTAACGTTGCGAGAGGCGAGGAGGAGCGCCGTGGGGATGCGAGCCGCGGCAAGGCGATGGTTGGTGATGATGCGCTGACGATGACGAGAGGCGCGGCGTCTGCTGCGAGCCACGGCCCCTCCGACCTCACCAAGCAACCCGTGCGAGGTGCGAGGCGTGCGCGGCTGTTGCGGGTTGGTGTGCGTGGACGATAGATGCTCTGGGACGGAGGGTCCGCATGTGGGAGTGGAGGGTTGAGGGGTTGGTGCCCTGACTGACTCTCTCTCTCTCCCTCCCTCCCTCTCTCTCTCCCTCTCTCTCCCTCTCTCTCCCTCTCTCTCCCTCTCTCTCCCTCTCTTCCCCTCTCCCTCCCTCTCCCGCACACTCTCTCTTTCTCCCCCATCTCTCCCTCTGCCTCGTTCCGTCCCCACTCGTTCTCCCTCACCTCTCCATCGTCCACTCACCCCATCATGCGCGCCCCTTCGTCGCCACTACGCGCGCGCAGAGCCTCAATGCGTCCGGGGGCCGTCACCGCCACTTGCTGCGCTACCCAGCACCAGCACTGCCGTCCCAGCACCCCTCCCCGCCGTTCTGCCAGGGCAAGCCGCCTCATTGCCGCAGCAGGCGAGCAGGGCGGCCCCTTGGAAAGGGGGACATCGAGGGGCGACGGTGCGGGACATCGACTCGTCGTCGGATCCGCAGCTGTGCGGGCGATACGTGGCGGACATCTACGGCCACCTCCGCGCCGCCGAGGTACGCCAGTGCCGCGCGCCGTGGCGATTGCGCGTGGGTCGTGGTGTGGGGGAAGGGGGTGCGGGGAAAGGGAGGTGGGGAGAGGGGAGATGGTGGGATGGGAAGTGGGTGCTTGGGTGGGTGCCATGTCCCCCGTGGTACGGCGTCCACGCCCTGCTGCTGCTTCCGTGCCTCCATCGGTCTCCGTTGCCTTTCCCTACTTGACCCTCCCATCCACTCTCTCTCCCTCTCTCTTCCGTTCCCCTCTCTCGCTACGTCTCCTCCTAGCTCGTGCTTCCTCGTTCGTCTCTCGTTGCATTCCGCCCTAATCAAGTCTCCATGCCTTCCTGAACCCCTATCCCATCACCACCCCTATTCTTGTCCCCTCATCTCGCTCCCTCCTCCCCTCCCCCGTGCCCCCCCGTGCGCGCGGTGCAGCAGCGCAGCCAGCCGCGCGCGGACTACATGGAGGCGGTGCAGAAGGACGTGAACAGCGGCATGCGCACCATCCTCGTCGACTGGCTCGTTGAGGTGCGCCCGCACACGCTCACACACACGGGCCGAGTGGGAAAGGGAGGGGCCGAGAGGTGGAGGGGGGGGTAGGGGGGGAGAGGGGGAGGGAGGGGTTTCAGGGAAGGGTGCATGCATGGCGCATGCTCGTTCCACATGTGTCGTCACCAGTCCGTCTCGCCACTCGCTCGCCTATCTCTGTTAGAAACCGCAGCTCGCATGAACCTCCCTTTGTGCCTCGCTTCAACCCCTTGCTCTCCTCCGTTCTGCCGCTCTCCGCTCACCATCCGTCTCCGCCTAACCTCTCTGTCCCTTCCGCCGTGCGTGTGTCCTCTCACCGGTGGGTTCGTGCATGTGCTCATGTGCTCATGTGCTCATGTGTGCATGTGTGCATGTGCTCATGTGTGCATGTGTGCATGTGTGCATGTGTGCATGTGTGCATGTGCTCATGTGTGCGTGTGTGAGCAGGTGGCAGAGGAGTACAAGCTGGTGCCGGATACGCTCTACCTCACGTGCGCCTACCTGGACAGCTACCTCTCCGCCCACACTGTGCCACGCAGCCAGCTGCAGCTGCTCGGCATCTCCTGCATGCTCATCGCCTCGTAAGCCTCCTCACGCCTTTGCCCTGCTGCCCTGCAATCCTTGCATGCACCAATCGCTCCGCTGCCTGTATTCTACGCAACCACGTTTGCAAGTCTCTCTTCCATGTGCCAGGATTCGTTGCCCCAGCCATGCTTTCGTTTCACCCCTTGTGCCTTCCTCTTCCGGAGGCACCAATCACCTCATGTATCCTTGCCCATGTGTGTGTGCGTTGGGCCCTGGCAGCAAGTTTGAGGAGATCTACGCGCCACAGGTGGACGAGTTCTGCTACATCACAGACAACACGTACACCCGCCTCGAGGTACCCACCACGCTCACTCCCACACGCACTACCCGGGTTTGCTGTGCGGTAGAAGTTGCAGATTTTTGCTGCGATCCCAATCGCATCTCAATCTGATCCCAACCTCTATCGCTCTCGCCCTCTCCTTGTCCGTGTCCCCATGTATCTTCTCTCCCTCCTCGTCCACTGCTCCGTGCAGGTGTTGCAGATGGAGAGCCGTGTGCTCAACCACCTGGCGTTCGACCTCAGCAAGCCCACCACCAAGAGCTTCCTCAGGTGACCCACCCACCCAACGCCCGCGGCATTGGCACGTGTGGGGCGCATGGGACGAGTGGGTGTGCAGGGCTTAGGGGCGCGAATGACGTATGGGTGTGACTGGCGTGTGGGTGTGCAGGGCGTGTGTTTGGAGAAGCGTAAGACCACCATGCTTTCTTGTGTCTTGCTGCTAGAGTGCTTCCACGGGTACCCACTTGAAACGCTCGCTTCATTCTAATGCTCCCTACCCTTGCATTCCCTCCCCCTTCTTGCTTTGCATCTCTACAGGAGGTACATTCGAGTCGCCCAAGCCAGCCTCAAGGTACACATGCCCCTCTTACTTCTCTCCCTTTCCCGCCCGTTATTTCACGGCATGGATAACTATGTTAAATCCACCCCCCGTTGGATTCATCCCTATGGTATCCCATCCACGTGACATCTACTGCAGCTTTGGCTACTGAAATCGATCACCCACCTCCCATCCGCCTTTCTCTGCAACCCCCATTTCGTCCAATCTATTGTGATCTCCATGCATCAGGACCCCTCGCTCAAGCTGGAGTTTCTGAGCAATTTCTTCTCGGAGCTGGCTCTCACAGACTACTCGTGCCTGCGCTTCAAGCCCTCGTGCCTTGCTGCCTCCGCTGTCCTCCTCGCCAAGCTCACTCTCTTCCCCACCCTGCCTCCCTGGGTACGCCTAACTCCCTACCCTCACCCCAGTCCCCTCCCTGATTTCTCTCCTTCGCTCGTCCGATTGCCCTCGCTCGAGCTCATGCTTCCTGCCCTGGCTGTCTCCTGTAGTCAATTGTGCCCCCTCCCGTCTCCATGCTACTGTGTGCGTCCGTCCCCCTGTTTCCCCCTGGCTTCTGCAGACGGCGACTCTGGCGGCTTGTTCGGGGTATGCGTGTGCTGAGCTGCGGGAGTGTGTAGCATGCCTGCATGCACTGCACTCCTCCAACGGACGTGCGCCACCCACTGCCGTGCACCAGAAGTACTGTCAGGCCAAGGTGTGTGCCATGTGAGGGGTGCTGCGTACTGTGCGCATGTGCCGTATGCCTTGTGCTGTGTGGCGGACTGGTTGCCTGTACACGTTTCCCGTGGTGTTTTCTTTCAAACTTGTCTGCAGCCTTTCTTCCAATTGCAAACTCTGAGCCTTGTGCCTCCCATTCCCGTATCCCCTTTGACGTCCTCTCCACCGCTCGTCACCTTGATCCATGTGTGCAGTTCATGGCTGTCGCCTCCATCCCCCTGCCCGCACTACCACCGGAGCCCCGCTCCTCCTCACGTCACTCCCCAGCCCACTAGCTGTCAGTGTAGCAGTGGCGGCAGTAACAGTAGCCCAGTAGCCCTAGTACAAGTAGCAGTAGCAGCAGCAGCAGCAGCAGCAGCAGCAGCAGCAGCAGCAGCAGCAGCAGCAGCAGCAGCAGCAGCAGCAGCAGCAGCAGCAGCAGCAGCAGCAGCAGCAGCAGCAGCAGCAGCAGCAGCAGCAGCAGCAGCAGCAGCAGCAGCAGCAGCAGCAGCAGCAGCAGCAGCAGCAGCAGCAGCAGCAGCAGCAGCAGCAGCAGCAGCAGCAGCAGCAGCAGCAGCAGCAGCAGCAGCAGCAGCAGCAGCAGCAGCAGCAGCAGCAGCAGCAGCAGCAGCAGCAGCAGCAGCAGCAGCAGCAGCAGCAGCAGCAGCAGCAGCAGCAGCAGCAGCAGCAGCAGCAGCAGCAGCAGCAGCAGCAGCAGCCCAGCAGCAGCAGCAGCAGCAGCAGCAGCAGCAGCAGCAGCAGCAGCAGCAGCAGCAGCAGCGCAGCAGCACCGCAGCAGCAGCAGCAGCAGCAGCAGCAGCAGCAGCAGCAGCAGCAGCAGCAGCAGCAGCAGCAGCAGCAGCAGCAGCAGCAGCAGCAGCAGCAGCAGCAGCAGCAACCTTTACACGCAGTGGCAGTGCTCTCGATGCATGGGAACAGCACCCAGCAGGAGCAGGTGACTGGTGGGTCTACTGTGTGGCACTGGGCATCGAGTAGGTTTGGGAATTTGGGCAAGTGGCGGTATCAGCGAAGACTTGCAGCAAGCTATCATTCGCTGAGTCGTGCGGCTGCTACTCTATGTATTGGTTATTGCCTAGGGAGTGCGCAAGCATTCAGTTTGGTGGGATTTTTTTCCGGTATTTTTAGGTGTTATTGTTTTTTGGAGTGCATCTCAACTATTCAATGGTTATTGATGGTACCATATTCCCCTAAACAAAATTCCGTAGGTCATGTGGTTACTTGGTCATGTCAGAATGAGAACAGCGGAATGGTATGTGATTAGCAGCAGTGAGATACACCCTAAAAGGTTGTGTCAGAAATAACTGTGCAGGAATGAATGAACTAGGTGTCAAATGTTGAACACTGATATGATAGGCTGTAGTGAGTTGCACTCTAGGGGGTACAGCTTCTAGGGTTGCTTATTTGTACCCCATTCGTTTCTATTCCAATCATTCCGTTGCTAACCACTCTTGAGATGATATTGTTAGAGTAGGGTGGTAGGGATGATTCAACTATCGAGAAGGTTTTGGTACAAGAGTGAAACCTAAGGGGTTGTACCCCACAGTGAGTACCCCACTAAAGCCTATCTAAAGTATAATATATAAATATATGTTTGACACACCCCCATAGGCAAAGTGGGGGAGAGTAAGGGGTCACAAGACCAGTCAAGAAAGGCAAAGCAAGCTCAGGGTGGATCACAACGTCACCACACTCACTGAGCACAAGCAAAGGGCCACAAGGCCAGTTCACATGCAGAGGCATATATGTAACACAAACATCACAGTGATCTCTACCTAGCAAAGCAAGCATGCAGGTATATATATATAGATCACAGTACAAGCAAGGCCTACAACAAGTGAGGAAAAGTGGGCACAAGCCCTAGCATAGTGCAGAAACGCTGATGATCACCAGCCTGAAGTGCCTTGGTGAATATATCAGCAGTGTTGGCCCGAGTGGCCACGTAACGCAGACGAAGCTGACCACGCTGCTGCAACTCTCTAGCTAGAAAGTAACGCAGAGCGATGTGCTTCGTTCTGTGCTCCACTCTGTGCTCCTCACACAAGGCAATGGTAGCCTTGTTGTCGACGTACAGCACTGGAGGAGAACGAGGCCGCTCTCCCAAGTCAGTCAGCAGGTAGGTGAGCCAGCGTAACTCCTGGGCAGCCATGGCTGTGGCGTAGATCTCAGCCTCACAACTGGAGCTGAGAACTGAAGACGAGCGTGTAGAACGCCACGAAACTGAACCAGAGCCAAGGCTGAAGGTGTAACTCTGTGACGACCGCTGTGTAGCCTGGTCGTCAACCCAAGAAGCGTCTGAGTGCCCAGTGAGAACAACTGAGCTCCTCCCTCCAAGCACGAGCCCCATGCCTGATGTACTGCACAAGTAGCGCAGTACCCTCTTAGCAGCATCCATGTGCACCTTTTGGTGCCGACCAGGAGCCACGTAGCGAGCCAGAAGGCCAAGAGGGTACGCAAGGTCAGGACGAGTGCAGGTCATCAGGTACATGAGGCAGCCAACTAGCTCTGGGTAAGGACCACTCGGCTCTACGGACTCGTCCGAAGGTGGAGCTGAGAGCGAGTGACCTGTAGCCAGAGGAGTGGCCTGTGCCGAGGACCAGGTGAAGCCGAAGCGCTGAAGGACCTGCTGCACCATGTGTGACTGAGTCAGTGTGATGGTGCGGCGTGCTCTGTCCCGGGTGATCCGCAAGCCAAGATAGCTTGTCAGCTCACCCAGGTCTGTGCACGTGTGTCTCTTCTGCAGCTCCGACTTCACGTGGGCGAGAGCCTCAGTGTCAGCAGTGGCAAAGACCAAGTCGTCGACGTACACGAGGATGTAGAACGGCGGCAGCGAAGTGTCGGTGCGTAGAAACAGCGACGGGTCAGCAGTCGACGGAGCAAACCCAAGAGCCGCAAGTGTCGTCCTCAGTGTGTCGTGCCACTCACGTGGCGCCTGGCGGAGACCGTAGACCGGCCGCCTGAGGCTCCACTGGGTACCAGGAGGGAACGACCCAGTGAAGCCAGGTGGGTGGCGCAGCCAGATCTCCTCGTGCAGGCTGCCCTGTAAGAAGGCTGTGCTGAAGTCAAGAGAGTGAAGCTCGTAGTCACGCTGAGCGGCAACGTGCAGTAGCACCCGAAGAGTGGTCATCTTCGGGGTGGGGGAGAAGGTATGGAAGAAGTCTACTCCCTCTCGCTGAAGACAGGCGGAGAACCTGGCGGCCGCTTTACCCTGAAAATCCACATGCCACTGACGATGTTCGCCCCAGGTGGGGGAACCTCGTCGACGTAGGTGCCTGTGGACTTCCAGGATGCCATCTCTGCGTCCATGGCTGTCTGCCACTGAGAGGAGTACTCACCCGCGATCGCCTCAGCGTAAGAGCGCGGGGTCGGGATGTCTGGAGCATCCGGATCTCCCTCAGGGGCAAGCAGCATGGACACGAGATGAGGCGCAGCGGCTGCAAGACACTCAAGGACCTCCTGCCTGTCCTCAAGGACGTCCGTGCCAAGAGCACACTCACCCCCGACGGACGGAGGACAGACAGACTCAGACTCAGCAACAAGACTAGCGGCGTAGTCTAGACGACAGGCAGCAGCAAAGTCAACAAGCTCAGCAACTAAGGCAGACGTAGCAGCAGACTCAAACGACGGGTCAGTGACAACTGTGGCTAGCAGACGCGTGACAGTAGGGTGCTCAGCACGAAACCGGTCAGACTCGGGGTCCGCAACGACAGGCAGAGAAGACGCAGGAGGGGACGGCAGAGGAACACGCTGTGGAGGAGAGGAAAGACGACGGACTACGAGGTGGGTGTCGGGGACAGCCGGCAGACGCGGACGAGGAACACGACGACCGGAACGACCAGAACAGACAGGCGAGACAGGACGCGACGCAGGCTCACGACGCTCAGTAAGACTCCCTAGCTGCTCAGTGTAAGGAGAAGGAGCAGGCAGCGGTGAACCAGGCTGCAACGGAAGACCAGTAGACGAAGGGAGACTAAGAACTTGGCGAAGCACAGAGTCAGGCGGTGGCTGAGACGACGGAGACGGTGGAGCGAAGAACAGGCGCGGCTGTGCAGTGACACCAGCACCAGCAACTCCAGTACCCCCAGCAGCTCCTGAAACTCCAGCGCCAGCACCCTCAGCAGCTCCAGACCCTCCAGCTCCAGCGCCACCAGCGCCAGTACCTCCAGCAGCTACAGAACCTCCAGCGCCAGCTCCTCCAGGACCAGCTCCACCAACAGCAGCACCCTCAGACTCAGCACCTCCAGCCCCAGCAGCTCCAGTACCTCCAGTACGAGCACCTCCGGGACCAGCACCACTCCCAGCTCCAGTGGCGACAGCAGAAGTACCTCCAGCGGCAGAGCCCCGAGCTCCAGAAGCGCGACCCTGACGGCGACCGTACCAGTCGTGCAGCTGCTGCGAGGTGAGAGGCACACGCGGACGAAGGCGGCTACTCCAAGGAAGCCGCGCAACAGCAGACTCAGAACCCTCAGCGCCAGAACCCGCAGCAGCTCCAGAACCTCCAGCGCCAGCACCCTCAGCAGCTCCAGAACCTCCAGCTCCAACGCCACCAGCGCCAGTACCTCCAGCAGCTCCAGAACCTCCAGCGCCAGCACCCTCAGCAGCTCCAGAACCTCCAGCTCCAGCGCCCTCAGCAACTCCAGAACCTCCAGCAGAAACAACTCCAGTGGCAGAGTCACCAGCTCCAGGAGCGCGACCCTGACGGCCAGCGTACCACTCAAGCAGCTGCTGTGGGGAGAGAGGGAGTCGACGACGAGAGTGCAGCGGCGAGGCACCAGCGGAGCGACTACGGAGACGGCCGCTCCCGGGAGACTGCTCACCAGACGCCTCAGTGCCCCCAGGCTCAGCACCCCCAGACTCCTCACACCCAGGCTCAGCACCTCCAGTCTCCGCACCCCCAGGCTCCGCACCCCCAGGCTCAGCACCCCCAGGCTCAGGTCTCACCTGGGCACCCCGACTACTGCAAGACGTGGTAACCACCGGCTCACCGAAGAAATGGGTGGTTGTGGCCGACGCCAGAGCGGCTTATCTTAGGCAGATGCTGTCAGCCGCATTGGAGAACCTGAAGGTGGCGCAGCTGTGGGACATATAGACGTATAAGCAGCGGCAGCAGCAGAGATGGAAGCAGAAGGGAGAGCAGCTGGAACTAGGGCAAGAGGTGTACTTACGGCGTCTGAAGCAGGATACACTGGACATGGGATTGCCCCAGTAAAGGTGGGAGGTGAAAGAGGGAGTCCGAGGTGTTAGTACTGGAAGACGCAAACGGGAGGCGCGTGTCAGATCACGCCACTAACGTAGCAAGGGTGCGGCGCTCCCACAAGGTAGTAGGGCAGGACAGAGGAGCATCCGCATTGGTACAGCCAGAGGAATACAAGTGTCCCATGACGCGAGCAAGGACGGCATAAGAGCACCATGGGGGGGCAGGAATGGAATAAACCACCAAAGCATCAGCTGCATAAAAGAGGGACGAATGACCAAAAGAAGAAGAGGGAGGGCAAGCACAGCATGGGGAACAAGAAATTTGAGAGAAGGCAGTTTCACCAGACGAGGCATGGCTACGGTAGCATGGCAGGCCAGGAAGGGAAGGGAGCTAGTAGTGGAGAAAAGTGCAAAGTTAAGGGGAGCACCATTGGAGGGCAGGAGTGTAGAAGCAAGGAGATGAGGAATGGGTTTCCAACACTTACCAAATGATTGATACTTAGAATAGGTTCATTGCTCACTCACATGGTTCGTACTATGAGTAAGTGCGTTACTTACCCAAATGATTGGTACTTAGAAAATGTATGCTACGTACTGAATGGTTTGTACTAAAAGTAAGTGCGTTACTTACCCAAATGGTTGGTACTAAAATAAAGTGAGTAACTTACCAAATGATTGGTACTCTAAGTAAGTGTGTTACTTACCCAAATGGTTGTTCCTAAGAGTATGTGCATTACTTACTCAAATGGTTGGTACTAAGTATAAGTACATTGTGTCAGGAA